ATAATGAAGAAAAGAGATGGTTTCCCATCGAATGCGAACGAGCAAAGGATCTTAATTCTTACTTGCTGGCCACCTCCCACAACAATGTCTTGAACACTTTCTTTCACACTGGTTCCTGGAGCCTTCAGCTCGGCCTCTGTCTTCTCCACGACAGCTGGCACTTTCTCATCGTCTTCTACATTTATGGATGTTTCTGTTTTTTGAGTGGTGATCTTCCCATACACAGGCGGTACTACTGTCAAGATATGACGATAAGGCTTTGCAGAGAACACAAAGATGTGAGCTATAGCAGCAATTGCCATCTGCATGCCGTGAAAACATATACCACACAGATTTCTTTCATCACCCAATTAAATTAAACCAAACAAAATGAATATCTAGAAAGGAACAATGCTACACAAAGAAGACCTCTATGCAGATTAAGAAGTCCTGCAATCCCGTCTGGAACTTCCCTTCCTTGGATAGGACACCCCAATAGCAAGCCAAGGAAATGCCGAAGCCTTGCCACCACGTAGCAAAGACGATTGCCTTAAAGCTAATAAACTTTGCAAGGGGTTTAATATCCTTAAGCCTCAGATGAGTCACGTTATAGAATTGCACCAGACAATACAAAGCCCACATCTGGCTGAAGTTGAGAACCACTGCAATATAAGGGTACCTGATATAAGAACTTACTAATTCAATACAGTAACCAACCATGTTTAGTTATAAATTTTGTACACAAATAAAGTAGTGTTCATAATATATATCTCTCTAGAAGCAAAGTTACAAAAACGAAAGACATACCCATAGTACCACTTAAACTCGCCATTGCCATACACGCCTAACAGTTCCAGAACCAGCGTTAAGAATGCACATAAAGTCTTCAAAATCATCTGAACCGAAAGAGTGAACGAAATAAATGATACTGATCCTAAATTATCGAATCCAAACAAAGAGAAGAAAACAGAGCCTTTGTTATCTTACATACTGCACAAGACCAAACTTCTCTATTGTGAGAAGGCGCTCCCCAAGAACGCAGGGGCGAAGGAAGAAGTTGGAGAACGTTCTCTCCTTCGTCTTAGGCTGTTTCTCTTCCCTGCTCAGTAATGGCTGCTGGCTGGTCCCTTTTCTCGATTCATCTTCTAGTAGTTCCACGACTCTCCTTTCGCCCCCTACCGGGATTGATCAATATGCTTAATTACCATTAATTATGCTGCATATGGGGCAGTGGGTTGAAAAGAAATGAGGGGAAAAAGGGGAAACTCACCAAGGCAAGCAATCAAGTAACTGCCGAAAGAGTAGAGAGCGAAAGCTTCGTATAGATTTCTTAGAATGTCACACGCAAGAGACAGGTTTGGGTTCCACAAAGACAAAATCTGGGGGAAATGCCATCAAAGGAGGGACAAGTAATTAAGAACCATAAAACAAGGAGGAAGCTAAGGGGAAAAGATATATGAAGGGGGGCCTTACTGACTCAGTGGCATAGACAGGAACCATGGAGACGACAGCAACAATCCATTTCTGTTCCTGGAAAAAAAAACATTAAAATATGCTAAATAATCACTAATTCGTGAACAATTTTATAATCAAGAAAGAAGAAAAGAGGAAAAAGAAGAATTGATCAAGGAACTAACTGCGGGATTGGTGTAAGATCTGAGATGCTGGAAGATCAAGAGAGTGGAGAGAATGAAAGCAAGGAAAGCGGATGAAGAAGCGACGATCAGGGCTGCCTCCTCCAACTGCTCGATCTTCCTCATCATCATATCATCGTTAATTAGAAGGCAGGGACATCATCGTCGGAGGATATATGCCGCCGCCGCCGCCGCCGCATTTTCATTCCGTTCCTGGAATGGGTTAATTGTTGTCCTTGTGGGTTTATCGCATGACATGCACAGTTGCAGATGGGTCGATCCCCTGGCAGGTGACACGTCGTCCGTACATTTCCGAGGGTCTAAAGACATGACGACACGTGCGTCTTTCATCAATGCCTATACTCGGTATTAGGGTGGACACGGTACGGTTCCGGTACCGCCACCCCTTGGTACCGGTACCGTAACCGGACCGGCCGGTACCGGTTCCGGTACCCGGACCGGCAGTTCCGGTACTGGACCGACCACCTCCAAATTATTTTTTTTTGTTTTTTTATTAAATGTTGTGAAAAAAATAGTCTTATCCCAGCCTGAATTCCTCTTCTGTATCTTTGGCTCAATACCCTCCGCCGATAGTAAAATCTGAATTCCCAATGCATAAAATTACAATGCCGCCGTAAGGATTCGTGGAGGCGCTAGATTGTTCTTCGGCTTCATCTTCCTCAGGTCTCTCTCTCAGTCTCTCTTCTTATTGGACCGCTAGACAAAAAAAGGTACCTGGGCACCTGGCCATCCTTGAAGCAGAGCAGGAGGCTGAAGAACAAGAAAAAGAGAGGTGGAAACAAGAAATTGATCGATTTACTGGGAAAAGCAAAAAAAATACAAAGGGTACCGGAACCGGAACCGGTACCGCCGGTGCCGGTGCCGGTACCAAAAAATGGGTACCGGAACCGGTACCGTGGGGGGCGGTGCCGGTACCGATTCCCCGGAACCGGAGATATGTGACGCCGGCGGTGACAGTAGCGGTACCGGTGGTACCGTTGCCGGTAGCGGTACTGTACCGGTACCGTGTCCTGGCCTACTTCATATCTTTTTTGGGCCGAGTTTTTTTTTTGAAAGATTTTGGGCCGCATTTATCGTATCAATCCCACTCTTATTTGTTCAATACTTAGGTCTTTCCATTTTCTTAGATATTCTTATGCTATTGCTCTATGGTAGTCTTATAAATAATTATAAATAATTTTTATTTAAATAATTATTTATGTGAATTTTAATTTTTTGTAGATGATTATAAAAAAATTTAACAAACATTTGAAATACTATTTTATACTCATTTTTATTATCGTTCGTTCTCTTTTGTGTGTGAAATACAATGTATAAATTAAACTAAGTTTTAAAAAAAATTCTTGTATTTATTTATTTATTTTTTAATTGTTTATCTTTCTTTATTTGAATGTAATTTTGATTTTTTTCAAGTAAAATTTTTTTCACATTTTAAAGGTCAACTAGGTACGTATATACATTTATTCCAATATTTACCGAAACCAAAATCGGACCATCCCGAACCATACCGAACCAACACTTCAGGATAGGGATCAGTACGATGTAAAATACTATATCGAATTGAAATATTTGGAACGGTACTGTAACCAAATATCGTACCATACCGTACCACGCTCACCCTAATAGTCTCCAAATATTACTTGAATAGTTTTGAACTTTTGGTGCCCCATATGGTTTTGAAACTGAGCACCCTTTTCAAAAAATTAACAGGCACTTCATTTGTCTCTGCTGGGTTAAGGAACTCGGGGGCCTAGGAAGCTAGGCGAAGAATATCGAACGAGAGTCGAGTATGCTCAAGATAAGAATCAAAAGAAGTTATGGATATTAGTGTGTAAGCGAACATGTCTTTTCCCCTCTCAAAGAGGGGGTTTATATACAGATTACAAAATGTGCTTTCCCGACTGTTGGGATATGATCTATCAAGCCGTGCCCACTAAGATCCGTTCGTTCGACCGGCAGCGCCAACCGTATCATTATCCCTAGGGTGGCTACACATGATGGGTTATAAATAGGGTGGCTACATCAACTAATCTGATGGAGGCGTGGCAGGAGTCCAATCACGGGCCCACTGACAAGGCAATCAACTAATCCCCATACACAGTGGGCCAGGCCTAGCGGTAACTCAAGCTGAGGCCGAGTACGCATAGGTTGGTCTCTGGAGAATTCCGATGAAGAGTCGGCCGACTACGATCAGAAGCTGAGCATGCTCTCCCAGGGCCGAGCGTGGGTGTGTCTCAATGTGGTAGCTTCCTTGGGACCTTACTTTCTTCAGTTCTGTCCAGCAAATTGGGCCTGGTCCGGATCGGGCCTTGTTGGGCCGTTAATATCTGTTGGGCCGGATACCCCCATTCCAGGGTATCCATCAGTCTCTAATGAAATACTTTCATTTTTTTCCTTAGAAAATTCTTATTTTTATGTTGGACAAAAAGAATACATAAGAAAGTTTTTTTAGACCGATGCACAATAGATTTATATAATGACTTCATTTCCCTATTTCTACAAAAGTTTTTTTATCTTTATCTTTTTTCATTTCCTTATTCTATTTTTTTCTTTTATTGTAATTTCGATTAAAATAAAAGAAACATTATTATTTGTGTGACTCATAATTATTATTTTTCTTAATTTTTAATATCAATATTATTATACAATTTTTCGTTTCTTAGTTTTGTGTCCCTAATTCCTGTCAAAAAAATTGAGACGAAGTGAAAATATTTTTCATTAATATTCTTTGAGAGAAAGAAATTAACACAAGCAATTCAATGTTTCATTGATTAAACAAAAATAATATCAAATTGTACCTTATACACTTAAATAATTAGAACTTATGATGTGACTCACAAAATGACTCGGGGACTAGCGATATTCATTTGTTATCTGAAATGTTCAACGTGATACAAATTAATTAATTTTTTCTGATTAATATGTCTTTTTAAAATATTATGAATAAAAAAGTAAGATATGTGACATGTCTTTTTAAATATTTCGAATAAAAAATTAAATATGTAGAAATTTTGAAAAACGATAAGATAATTATGCAATATTATTAAAATTTGTATTAAAATATAAATTTAAACATTAAAAACGAGTTGTAAGAAAATAATATAATTATAAACTTTTTTATAACATTATATTTCATATTAAAGTATATGATTTTTAAAGTTTCGTACATTAGAGAATCGATCCAGTCAGGTTCAGATTCAGTCAGGTTTGACCCATTTCTAGCGGGTCATTTTAGGTTCGATCAACCTCAAAACCTTTATTCAAAACCCAATATTTTCAGGTCGGATCTCGGATCAAAAACAGGTGAAGACATTTTTTACTAGATCTACCCCGTATAAACCACATTCTCCCATTTATATATAGGAACACAATACCATTTATATATTGAAACATACTGTAGTATAAACCACAAAATTAAGAAGGACCACAAAAGAGTTTGAAAACATACGGATGGGAGTGCATAAAACACATCAAAACGAAGACCATACAAATATACAATAAAATAGAGTTTTAATGTATTGGTGATCGGGTGAAAATGGGGGATTTTGTATAGCGTGAGTAACAATGATATTCCAGGACTATAAGGGCAAGAAACTAGCAAGTTAAGCAATGGTGAGCAATGATATTAATGGCTCGTGATCAGGAAATTCGGAAACAAGGTGATGCCTCTCTGCAAGCTCAAAGTCCTCAAACTGGAAGGCGGGTGCACAGGTACACCCGACCAGAGAGAAGTGACTCTCCCCATCTCTTGGAGCTGTTTTCACAAGAGATTTCATGTCAGAGGAGATTCCAATGTCGTTCGCTGGGAACGCGCCGAACCACACATTTGGAGGCACAGTGTACTGCACCACCTCTCCATTGTCTGCAAGTGGATCAGGCCCGAGGCGTGTTAGCTTCACACTACCATCACTCTCATTGAGTTCCACGATCTGCAAACCGGTGTCAAATGTAGCGAAATAGAGTTATCCCATATTGGCTAAACATGAATGAATGAATGAATGGTCCCTTGGACGAATACGTGTCCATAACTTTACGGATCAAAAAGAAGTAATAAATGCCATTAGACATGGGTATGAGGGTAGATATTAGCGTACCGTAATTGGCTCTCCCAAATAGAAATGCCACGTTTCTGCGCACGGGATGCGGTGCAAGTGAGAGACAGATGCCGAAGGAAGCAAGAAGTAAATAGATGTACTGACGGGTCGATCAACTTTGTCTGTAAAGAAATAGTTCATCAAGGTTAATTGTGAAAAGGGACTGGATCAAGATATATGTAGTTGCTTCCAATTATCATATATTCATATGCAAACCAATTCAAAATTAGGCTCAATATGCATGATATTTATATATTATTCCTCTCTTTTTCCCTAAAACAAAAGTCACCATTTGTCTCTTTGACTTCATGCAATTCAAGAAAAATGCCGAAGAGTAAAAAGCGAGTGGTTAAAACTTATTTGGATTAGAGATAAATATTGTGCGATGCATGACTCTTTACTTTGAAATGGTCAAAAACAGAAAGTGTGACTCTTTTTTTTACGAACAGAGGGGGTACATACTTAGGTGATGTTTGTTTCAGCCTTCACGGCCAATTTGGCCTGCTGTCTTTTGCAGTTGATTAATTGAAACGAAATGGAACAACTCCATTTTAGAGCTGTTAAGAAACCAACCATTTTGCCAATTTTACCAAACTCCCTCTCAACTTTCTTAAAAATACACATCTTCTTTCCTTTCGAATAAAATTCATATTTTTTAATACCATAATAAGTTATTTTACATCACAATAAACAACTCAAACAAACGCCTAAGTCTTAAACTGTCTCATCAGTTGTAGTAACGGCAACAACAATAGCCAAGAACAATTGTCCTAACGGGCTTAAATGTTGTATATATAACGGTTTTGTTTGGGTTTTCTGGTCCAAAATGTTAAATTTCATCATTGAATTTAAAAGGGCATATTATTGTGCTCTATTTGGTTTACACAAGAGACGTTAACCCTTAGCTAGATGATAAATAACCATAACGAAAACCCAGACGCCATAAATCCAAAAAAAAAAGAAAAAATCAAACACAAAATCTGAGATTTGGGAGAAAAGACATACAAGTAGGAGGAAGATGAGGTTTGGAGAGGAGGAGGGAAGGGTCTCTGAATGTTTCCCTGTAGAAGCCACCTTCTGGGTGCGGTTTCAAATCCAGTTTGGCTACCAGCTTCGACACTGTGGCTGCGGCAGGAGTTGAACCCATTTTTGATCGATTGGGTGTTTCCAGCAATATTCGCAGATCGTTTTTTTCTTTATTGGGAGACTTGGATGTTCTTTGACAATGTGATGTATAAATTGGATGAGAGAGACCATGAGTAAATTTGAAAGAAATAACCTTCTTAAATAGAACTATAAGATAAAGAAAGCGTCCTAAAATGTTCTTCTCATTCACTTTTTGCCCGGTTAAACTTTAATTACTTTCTTTACTTATTTTTGTTAGGTATTTGATAAAATAATATAGTCTTGTCACCACTTGTTTTCTAGAACTTTTAATTTAGTTTTTAAATATATAAATTTTATTTTTTAATTTTATACCTACAATCAAATAAATTAAATTGAAAATAAAGTCGGTCAAACCTCGTAAAATGAATCAGGAAGATCATTATAGGACGGAGGGAGTATCAATATAACAGCCTTATGTTTTTATTTTTTTTAAATGTGAGTTCACATTGTGATAATGTGATATTGTAAATGAGTATTTTAAAATACCTTTTGGTAATATACCTGGTTGTGATTGGTAATGTTAATGCATTTTACTTTTTATTTCAAAAATAAAAAGATGAAATTTCTATTTTGATATATTCTCAATGTTTTACTCTTACTCTAGTCTTTTTTCCTTTGGAATACACTATTTCATTAATTTTTTGTTGTCCTACCCTATTACACTTCTCATAAGCTTTCAAGTGGATCATATTTTTGTGAAAGACTCAATTCTTTTATGATATAAATACACTAACTTTCGTAAAATAAGCAAAAACTTTAAGATCACATAAGAATTTGACATTTGTTTAACTTTGTGTAACTTTGATTAAATGCAGAATTGATCTAATTGATTCGTTAAAATAGATTCAATCAAAATTACTCGGAGTATATACTTTGGTACTAGTATGAAATATAAGGTGATTTAAAATGTTAATAAAATATTTTTTTAACTTATTACTTCTTGTTAGAACTTGTTTATAAGGTTAGAAAAAAATTTAAAAAAAAACTGGAATAAACTAAAATAAACTGCAAAAAACTAGAAAAAATTAAAGAAAAATGTAAGAAACTTCAAAAATTTATTCAACTGTATTTTACGTATTATTCTTATTATAATTTTTTTTTTTATTAACATTATTAGTATTATTACTATTACTTTTATTATTATATTTGTAGTATGTAAAGAAAGTGAATAAAATTTAACTCTGTACATAATGTACATGTCCTTTAATTAGAGACACATGGATCATAGTAGTATAGTTATTACTCCGTATTATTTAGTTTAAAATATTGATATTTTTTCAAGTCAATATAGTTTAATTAAACATATGCTCATATATTTTAGGACTATAGTTTATTGTCATGTAAATTAATAAAAAAATTTCAATAAAATTGTATTCCATATTATTTATATAAAAATGGGGAAAAAAAATAATTTGTGCTAATCACAAAAATAGTGATATGGAAAAAATAAAAATAGAAAATTTGAAATAACTTATAAACTTTGATTATGAGCATAATAATAATAATAATAATAATAATAATAATATTGTTAATAATAATAATAACTAGAACTCAAAGTAACCCAAACTTGATAGAATCAAACCCAACTTGACCACCTCTTTGTCACTTCTAATGACAATAATAATACTCAGTAATATGTGGGTGCAAGAAGTTTATCCAGAGATGGGAGATGTTAGGGGTACATCTTTGGTGTACCCTAAATGTACACCACATGCCTCTTTACCATTCATTTTTATTTAGTTTTTATTTTTATTTTTTTTTTAATTTTATATGCAATTTTTTGTGGTTATGGAGGCGGTGATGAATATTTGAGGTACAACTTTGGTGTACCTCTAACACTTTCCATCCAAAGATATGTATATTTACGAGTGAAAATATTCATTTTACACATTCATCGTCTTCATTGAGTTAATTGAAGTGAAAGTGGAGAGTAAAAATTTGAGAAAAGAAATCGTGGAATTCAAAATATTTTCTGATGAGAAAGAAAAAGAGAAGATGAGAAATTAGGGATGATGCCCCCATTGAAAGTTTTCTCTTCATGAATGAGAAGAAAATAGAACCAAGTGAGCATTCACTCCTTTTTTATTTTTTAGTAAATTCCCAAAATGGTCCTTTGTAATAAAGTGTTTTTCCAATTCAGTCCTCAATAGGTTTAAATTATCTACATGGTCCTCGATAATTGAGATTTATTCCCAAGATAGTCCTTCGTAAATAATTTTACTCAAATGATGATTAATTGGGAAATATTTTGATATTTTGATCATCCAAATTTAAAATATATTCTCGAAACAATTATTTCTGTACAACTAAATATAAAATTGAAAAAATACATTGACTATAAATAATTAATGAATTATTTAAAACTTATAAAAAAATCTTTTAAATTTCAAATCAAATACACATCTTTAATTAGAAAAAACCATTTTGGAAGAGCACTTTTTTATAAATGATCATTTTAAGAATTAGTTCTAAATTTAGCGGATAAAAAATACCAAAATAACCTCAATTAATCCTCATTTGAGTAACATTATTTACGAAGGACCATCTTGGCAATAAATCTCAATTATAGAGGACCACATAGGTAATTAAAACTTATTGACCACTAATTTGGGAAAACACCTTATTACAAAGGACTATTTTGGGAATTTACTCTTTATTTTTTATTTTCTTTTTCATTTTTTCTCCATATTTTAATTATATTTTCTTTCCATCCAAGCAGCAAGAAAGAAAAACTACGTTTCTCTTCATTTTTTATCAAACTTCCTCGATTTCATTTTCTCTCCTCATCCAAACAAAGCATTAGCATCTATACTATATACAAAAGCAAAAGAATTGGGGAGAGAAATAAGAAAGAAAAAAAAAATAAAGATGGTGTTTTCCCGTCCTGCATGTTGTCCTTTGGACTTCCCGAGCTCAAATATTAATCTTCCCTATATGCCATTTCATCTCTTTGGAAATCTAAAAAGACAACTACACTACGGAGTATTTTGATGACAATAAATGCTTTTTTTAAAAGAATGTGGTGGATCATTGTTTAAAATAATAAATGTGTTAATTGTAATTAATATCTCTTTCAAAAGGGTTATTCATTTCGTGGATCATTGTTTAAAATAATAAATGACCGTCTATATCTCCCTTCTAAAATTAACTCTCAATTTGCCTTTTGTAAAATTTTTTTTTAAACTTTGACTAAATATTACGAAAAAATATATTGAGTTTTCATATAAATTTAGTATCAATTGATTTATTTTGAAATATAATTTTGAAATATTTTAATTTTATAAAATATATTTATATATAAATAGAATTATTAATGGTCAAAATATTGCATTTGAGATATTAATTATCAAAAATTAAATGAGAAGTTGATATAGGAGGGATAGATTATATACTTCCTCCGTCCCCTTTTAAATCGTCCGTTTTGAATTTTGGGCATATTTAAGGAAAATTACAAATAGAGTTGATTTTTCGAAATTGTCAATACTTTTTAGAAGGGATGATGATGAATGAGAATATAATGTGGAGAAGATTGACTTATTTTAGAGGTAGTTTAGGTATTTTATTTTTAAAAGTTTACGAAAACAACTAACAGGCAACTTATTTTGGGACGGAGAAAAAAGGCAAACATGCAATTTAAAATGGGACGGAGGTAGTAATATGGAGGTAGCTCCATTTTGTTTCATTTAGAAATATAATTTTCTGAAAAATCTACTACTACAACAAAGGAAAAGATTTTTGGAAAAAATTTCATGCCCAAAGAAATCTAATTTTTCTGCTCCGTTGATTTCAGTGGCTAGGAAATAGCGTGGTCTGATTCTTTCTTAGTCATTGGGATTGAAATTACAACGCATTTATAGTGTTTTTCTCCACACGACTATATGGGCTTGAAAAGGCAGACTTGTGGAGATGAACCAATCTATCTAATACTCCCTCCGTCCCAAATTATTTGCCACATTTGTATTCCCGAGTTAAAATATCAAGTTTTTTTTAATTCATTTTATTTATATATTGGTATAGAAATAAAAAATAAAATTTGCATTTAAAAAACTACATGAAAAATTTTTCGAAATAAGAGGTGTCAAGAATATTTTATTTTATCAAATAACCAATGAAAACGTCGAAATAAACAAAAGTTACCGCGACTGTTGAAAAAGCATATGTTGTGAATATTTAAGGAGGGAGGGAGTATATATCAACATACCAAACTTACTAAATGAACCCTCTTCACTTCACATATCTTCCTCATCTATGGAGTATGATGATGTTGGCGCTGGCCACATGAAAAGTAACATTGAAGGAGAAAAACTGAATAATTTGCCATTGTTTCCGAAAGATTTGCGAGTTGAAACTACAAAAAGGAATGGCTAAACAATTCTTTATGAAAAAAGATAGAGCGAAACAAAAAAATAGTGGATCTAGATCGAGAAAAAAACAAAAATTTCTAGACAAATAAATGAGACGACGAAGGTCACGCTAAATGAGACTTATTCTGCGGTGTCTAGCAAAATCTCTAACTTTTATGTGGGATTTTAAATTCCATTTATACTCAGACCTAAAAAACCATCGAAATCCATATTTTATAAAATAGTTTGAAAATTTACCGATTTTTGAATATCATTAGATTCAGAGGGAAATTTTAAAATTTGAACTGAATATATTAAAATTTTTAATGACTTTTTAAAATTCGGATTGAATACTCTCATACTTAAAATGACTTTTTAAAATCTTAATTGAATACCACTAAGTTTTAAAATATGAAAAAATCCAACAAATTCTAAATTGAATACACCCCTTCAAGTTTTTAAAATCCATTGGAAACAATCATATGAATTGAGAGCCAAACAAATGTGCATTGGAGTATAAGTTTTAAATCATGCGCATAGTCGATTACGTAGATCTATAATCTAGAATCAGATTTGTTATTTCAAGAGAAATACTCACAAAAAATAGCAACAACACAATTGGGAATTTTCATCACAATATTAATAGGGTAGAAGTTTCGTTCTTATAAACCTCAAATAAACCAATTACATAATCCAGATTTACAATAATGAAGAACTACTTAAACAAAACCAATTAAACTAGTATATGTTTCACTGTTACCACGAACCATT